TGGTGGTGTCGATAAGTGGGCCATCCAGCCGGGGCGGGCGCAGACTGTCCACAGGAATGGAGAGGCGCTCAGGTGGAGGCGGCGGCGGGGCCAGAGGAGTCTTCAGCTGCGCCTGAGGGAAGAGCTGCTGCCAGTGCTGCAGGTAAGAAGGGTCCACCTTCAGGAAGGCCGAGCCGCTCGGGTCGCCCGGCTTCAGCATGGCTGCCCGACGACTGCTGCAGGGAAACACCAGAGGACGAGGTGTCAGTCACCAGCATCCAAACATACAGTGGAAGACTCAGGTGGACAGGATGTAGACATGTATGGCAAACACACAGGGTCATATCTGCTCAAAGTGTCAGGAGGATAAACCCCAACACAAGCTGCACAACAACAGCGTCAGATTCACCACAAACTCATGTGGGTTTCAGAAAATGTGCAAATCTACAGTAGAGGCCAAGTCCCATTTAACATGTCTTTACTGTTTTAGTTTTGAGATTCAGACACACACATGTCGCACTAATCTCATCATCCCCATCTTAAATAATAATTTCAGACATTAAACGAGACAAGGCCTCACAAAGTAATCAGATTTAAAAGGTGATGTGCATTTAATTTAGTCAGCGGTTTTCTCCCTGATCCTGTACACACACAAGTTTAACATCAACACAGATTGAATAGCTCGGCCACATCACTCACATTAACACATCCCCTGACCTCACACTGGATCTATTTTACCTGTGTCTGGTGTTAAACTGAGCACGATCACAGAGCAGAGCAGCTTTTCACCTGCTTCATCCTGAGTCACAGGTCGTTTGGGTTCAATTTGCATGAAAATGAGATGCAGAAATTCAACCTTTACATTTTCCAGACAGAAGAAACGTTTCTACTTTAGAGCTTCAACTTTAAACTTTAAGTTGATTAAAAGAAATTCTAATGCGTGCATGTAATGTGTATCTGCATTATTTCAGACTAGGTTGCATTTAAAATTAAGCCTTAAATATCAAAAGACACCTTAATTCACAGGTACAGGGCAGTGAAAAGTTTATACAGGAGTCCAAATGAGCACTTCCAAGATTTTAATCATCATAAAATGACATTATGCTGGGAAATGAAACCTCCATGTTTTATAAAATGTATAAAATAAATGTTATATTAAATGTTGGCCTGGCACTGATTCTACATGGCTTGAGCTGTCACTCATAAACCTGCCATTTTAGCCAAAATACAGAAAACGAGACCGACCTAAAATGACATCCGTGGTACCGTTTACCACTTTCAGTCGGAGCTCAGGAGTAAATGTCCGTTTCTGCTGCTCCAGGTGATGCTCGTTGTGGAGCGCTCCACTGTTTCAGCCTGCAGGATTTCGCTGCTGTTTTCAGAGAAAATAGAGATTCCTCCCTGCTGAGGACAAAGTTGAACACCAGCTCTAGTGTTTCTTTATTTCTGGGTGTAATGTTTCGGTTGTGAATTCAGTTTTAACGAACGTTTTCGGTTTTGGTCGGTTCTTTCTGTTCATATCAGCTGGACCATCACCACTGCACTGGCAACAATTAAGAAATAAATCTCAAACTAATTTGCTATTTAAAAAAATAAAATAACAAATACACTATACATTAAAAGGACCAGAAATCCGATATATTTAGTATTTTTTGAGCCTCGTCATGTGGGGCTGTTTACATCCTAAAGTATTTTAATCAACCTGTTTCTTTAGAAACCGAGGGGTAAAATCTCTTTGTGAGAGAAAACGTGGTTCAAAGTTTAAACTCCACGTCCAGTAACACACTCGGTGTACACTGACTGCAGCTCTGCTCCGCTGTCTCGGTCTCGAACTGTAGTTTTAGCGCGGATTTTACGCATGCAAGCGCAAAATACGCTCCAAATAAAAAGGCAATAAATGGGCGCGCACATTTACCTGCACGCTGGATTAGTCTACAACGTAACCCAGACAGTGATGAAAAGTTTCACATAAGAATAAAACAGATGGTCCGGATAAGTCCAGGTCAGATCGGCGCTCCGCCGCGCTGGTTGTGTCCATGCAGAGGCAGTAATGGGCGCGTGGAGACGCGGGGACGCTCCGCCGGATGGTCCCGGAGTTTCCCGGGACCTTGTGTTTTTCTTTTTGTTGTTTGTGTCAAAGTTGTTGCAACGTGGAACAGGCTTGCTGCTGTCAGAGTGTGTGCGGCTCCTCGACGCTGATTTCCGGGCAGCGGTGGAAGGTTTGTCCCTCCTCCAGGCTGCGGAGAACCATCGAGAGGAGTCGGGACAGTTCGCGGCGTCCTGCGCGTCTCCGGAGCCGAAACTACCGAACGGCTGCTGCACAAGCCTCTCTCTCTCTTCCTCTCTCTCCTACTTACTTGCTTTCTCCCCTCCTCTCTCTCTGCCTTATCAGCTATAGTCTCTCTCCCACTCTTCATTTGTCTCCGGCTCTTTCTCTCCACTCTCAGACTTTCACTTCTCCTTTTCCTCCATCTTTAAACCGTCTCTCTCCTCCTGCGTTTCATCTTAGCTCTGGGCTTCTCTGTTTCTTTTTCTCTCCATCTCTCTCTTCTTTTACTCCAGATTCAGCTCTATCCAGTTTAATTCAAATCATCTTTGTTAATACTAAGTTAACACACCATGTCTGAACACAAACATCTTTCCTGTATTCCCTCATAATGACCTATCCCAAAGAATACTGGACTGCCTCTCTGCACTGTAGTGACTTAACCTACATATTCAACATTTACTATGTTTCACTGACTGTTACTCTGACAGTACTGGTGTTGTGTGTAGAAACCACAGTAATAACCTCTGAAATGTTTTCACACCAGTAAATGTCAGTTTTGCACAAACAAGCAAACTACTGAGTTTGTCACCTCCTAAAATGTCTCACTCAGGTCACTGTTCGGTGATCCGACACCTCCATCACAGTTTGAACGTTCAGATAATGAACAGCGTTGTAGTCGAGTCACTAAACCTTGAGTCCCCGTTACCCGAGTCAGAGTCATGAGCTCTACATTAAACTCAATGGACACAGCTCTCACAATTTTAGATTTCAAACTTTCCAACAGTGTATTGCATCTCTACATTGCTCACCAATTTGAAACATAAAAATCATTTATAGAAAGACAGAGCATACGCTTTGATGGAAGTGCACGAGACACAACCTGGTGCCGGTGAATGGTTTTAATATCAATATCTTAGGCCAAATTATTATGGTCTATAACAAAAAAAGAAAGTCACAAGTCCAGCTTTCACACATCGTGAAAATCTGGACTCGAGTCCTACAACACTGGTCCCTGAAGCTAGTGGGTTAGAGATGTGTGGTGGTCATGGTTAAAGGAAACAAAGAGCAGTGTCAAACTCATGCCGCTGGTTCTGGATAAAAAGGCCCATTCATTTCCCCACAGACAGCGTTACACAAGTTGGAGCGCCTCTCTGGCTTGGATCAGCATGAACCTCCCCCGGTTCCAATGCTCCAACTGTGCACAGGAAAAGTTAAGGGAGAAGGCAGCAACTCCAGAAAGTGCACGTCGGCAGCAACCATCACATCTCCAGGCTTAAACTGGAGCTCATATGACCAACTGAGCCGTAAACACGGCTCACTTTTAAGCTCAGCAATACCTGAGGCTTGTGGGTAATGTAGTATTTAGACTGGTCTGCCAAAATGCACAACACATTTTTAACAGCGAGTTTAGAGAAAAACTAAAATGGGGAAACGAGAGAAATATTTCTCACACTCTTCAACCCCACAGGCCCACGCTGACCTTGGACCGAATACACAGATCAGGTGACAGTTTTCAGGTGGTCGGTGTCAGATTAGCCGATCACAGTCATACATTTCTGCTATGACTTTGCTGAGAGATGTACTGTGCCAGGCTACACAGCGGCCGCGGCTCATCTTTAATCAGCCACGTGACGGGCGGCCTGTGAGGGTGCAGTCTCACCTGGCCCCCCTCAGCTTCTACACTGGCAAACAAGAGAAGGAGAACAGTCTGTAGGTCACTGATGATCTGGGACAGTGGGCGGTGCTTTTAACATTAAGTTGTTTTTATGGAACCAGACGTCATCTGACCAGTAAGAACCACCTCTGTGCCTTTTTACACCACAGAGAATGTTCTTCTCATCTGTCTTCAGTCATCTTCTGAAGAACTTCTAACCTGTTAATCCACTGTGTACAACAATAATTACAGTGCTGGTATCATCATTACCGGGTGCAGGTGGTCGTCCTGCTGTCGTCCTCACCATAGTTAAGTGTGTGTATGCAGATAAGACAGATTACAGCCGAGCTCACTGTGCTTCAAGCTCCGGCTTGTTATCCACGACCCCGAGCTTTCCCAGCCGTCTGCTGCGTACACACAGCCAGCCATGTAAAGCATACAGTACGTGTGTGCACATCTGTCATTGTGAGCTGCTGTGGATAAGAACATCTGTGTGTGTGTGTGTGTGTGTGTGTGTGTGTGTGTAGGTTGTTATGACTGGCGTCGCCTTGACAGGCCCCATTTGTCATCCTTGGGACCTCTGGTGGATTGATAACGAACAAAAACACAAACATAAGCGTCTGAAAATGAGCTCTTGTCGGCTTAAACCGACTTTTTCAGCGCACTGGAATGTGGAGCAACAACAGGCCGTCTGATTGGCTGAAGCACAAGCTCAGTGTCGACAGTAGCCAGTGGGGAATCACAGTGTTGCTAGTTTGAATCCCTCCAACAGCTAATGAAGGCTTCAACCAATTTTATAAAGGTGGCTGAAATCATCTGAACACAGAGAACAGAACATTTGATGCATTTACAAAGTCAGTCTCAAAAAGGTGCTTTTCATTATTTGTGTGGACGACAGAGATGGGTTTCGACTAAAGGATGTTAAACAGCATCTCAGCCCACATACAGTCACGTAGCTCATTTTCAGTAATTTCATGGCTCATTTCTGAGGAATTAGTTTGTCATTTCTGAAACAATTGGCAGCAGTTACATCCTGGAATCACAACAACCTTTTACTTCACACAAGATTTAAAGAGATGGACAGTTATGGAAGGTGAAATAATAACATCAAAGATGCTAAAAGACAAATTTTTTTAATTACCTACTGGTTTTCAGCTGTTGAAGACAACCTGAACATGAACTTTTAATCTGAAAACAGGCCACAAACTGGTGGTAGCTGCCAGTTGGTGACTTCTTTGATGACTTTGGAGATTTCTAATGACCTTAGGAAAAATTTCATACAAAGCTCTGTGAGAATAAACTTTCACTGAGAA